GTCTTTGTGTACTGGAACACTGCATCACTTTCTACAGATCTGAGCCCATCTGGCTCTACTTATCAACATTCACAATTTATTCGACATTCACAGCCATTAGAAGCGTGGCAGAGCAACTCGAGTGGCCGTGTGACCTATGTGACTTATTTTACGGATAATGTTATTATCATCTAGTTTTTCTTAACTACAATGTATTCCTAAAACTTGAGCATATTATCTAAAATCACTGAGGTAAATACAACAGTGCTTTGTACTTGATGATTGCGAAACAGGGTGATAAATAAAACATGCCTCCAAGAAGCATTCAGCAGTCACAAAGTCACGCCATGATTAGTGCAAGAGCTCATGACTTTCCAATTTTAAACACAGAGGGAGGCTTTGCAGGAGATGAACAGAAGACAGGTTCACTGAACTCTCTAATTGCTGATGAAAAAGAAACATTAAAAAAACCCACATTCCCACACGGTATTTGAATAGCGTGAACAGAGACTTCTCACTTCGAAGCGTCGATGAAGTTCCTCATAATTGCACTCTCCTTCTACTCCTGGCGGGTTAACCCTGGTAAGCTGGGTCGAAGCAGCCCGCCCTCAAAAGGATCTCTTTATTAGGTCGGTGTGAAAGTAAGGCATTTGCAGTCATTACAATTTGTGAGCAGGAAGAGGCTCACCAGCTGTTGTAGCTGCCCTTTTTGTTCTTTGTCGACGTGTTACAATGCTTAAGTCGCTACCAGATAGGAGATAGACACTGGATAGGCGAGCAGGAACATATGTGTCAGTGCCATTCTCTCTCGACACAAGTCGGACATTTCACAAGTCAGGTTAATTATACCATTGTTTAAAACAACAAGAAGAAGAACAACAACAACAAAACAACAAGAAAGCAAACAAAAGACCCCAAACAGAACCAATCACCCTATCCCCAATAGAAGGGGGAAAAATGTAGTCATTCGGGCAATAGTTTGTGAACATGTTAAACTGTAATGCTGCAAGGTGCAGAAACAAAATACGGGGTGCCCACTACGGATGAGGTCGGTCGATCGGGCTGATCGGCCGACTCGATCGCCTCAAAAACAAACGTGTTCGCTTTCAGTTTCAGGCGATCGAGTCGGGCGATCGGCCCGATCCAGTTGTAGTGGGCACCCCGTATAACAAAGGAGAACAAAATAAAAACAGGCTCCGAAATTGAACAATACGAGACCTGAGTGCTTTCTTGTCGTATTTCAATTTTTTAAACAGTAAAAAAATGGCTTCTTCTTAACCTCACTCTTTCTTATGAACTGTTTTCACTGTTATTAAAAATGGAGATACAACAAGAAGGCATTGAGATCGCGAACATGTACCGTCAAAACACAAACACACATTTCATAAATAAATCTAAATGTAATACATAATAAATATAGGGGAGCTAATAAGTTATTGTGATATGAACTGAAATAAAACAAAACAACAACAGAAACATCAAACTTTCCTGCGATAATTAACACAAAACAAACGAAGATACATTAAATCATCCATAGGCCGATTTGTTCTTATTCTCGGGCCTCATCGCTCTGAATAGCACAGAACGACTTAGGTCTGACTGTAATGATTGTCGCTGACGCATAATTTCCCCACCATCCAGGCGTCCTGGCTTTGTCTTACGTGCTGGTGTCGTGTCGTGCGGGATGTCTTTGAAGCATTTAACGATACCGACAACCAGGCAGGGAATAGACAATGAACGGGCAAGCGCGGGAACATGTGTTACCCAGGGTCCAGGAATCCTGCCCTTGTCGTAGCCGCTGTTTTCCATGAGTGCGTGAAGTTAATGCAGTGTTGTTGCGGGCGTCTGTGGTGCAGCTGTTATAGGCGCATCACTGTTGCATGCCGAAGACCCGGGTTCGATTCATGTAATCGTCTCACTCTATTGGAGACGCTCTGCCCTCGTGCCCACATCCCCCGGCTTTTTTGTTTTGTTTCGTTTTTGTTTCTTGTCTCCTCTTACTCTTTCTCTGTATCTCTTCTTGTTTGTTTTGTAAAGTGTTTTACGGCGCTCGCAACTGCATAAGGTCATATGAGCGCGCTGGACACACCTAATATTTTCAGTTGGTAGGAACGTTTGGATTTTGCCTGGGTGGCGGCCAAAGCCTACTCTTATCGATTTTAGACCACCAAGTGATCTTTAACGTGCGCAACTT